GACCCCCACCGCCTTTTCCAGCGAGCCCAGACAAAGACTATCATGCCCAGACAGTGGAAGTTGCATTCTGAATACCTTTCTCATTAAACAATCATGTTTGGTCAATGTTTTTGACTGAATCTTTAAAATGAACAAACCATTCTCTACTTTTTTTTTTTTTACTTAAACCATGTTTCTGCATTAAAAAACTGACTGACTTTATGTGTGAATGAGACTCTGAGTGATAAAAATGACTGATGACCATACATAATTTAAAGGACATGAAGACGTTATTGAAACTCTAATTCATTTCGACTAGCTTGGTAAAATCATGCACAAAATTTGGAGTATGCAGGTAAAAATAACAGATTTTTGGTCATTTGTGGAGAAAACAATGACTCGAAAGAGTCAGCTTGTTTCAGTCGTCAACAAATAATGACTCATAACACACATGAGATGCTAATTTGTGCTGGAGTCGATGGCCTCGTGGGCAGCACTCCGACACACGGCGTGGCTGTGCTTCAGGCGACCCAAGTTTGAGTCTCTCTCTCCCACTTCACTTCCTGTCTTCTCTCCAACTGTACTATCAAAATAAAGGCACAAAAAAAATGCTCAAATGTTGCCACCGACTTGTGTAACAATGAAACTTGAAGAATGTGTGAACAAATCTTTCTGGTGAATGGATTCTAAAGATTTGATTCACTTGGATGAATAAAAATTCTTCTGAATCTGAAAAAAAACTTGATGTCATAAGTTTAGGGTCAGAAAAATGTTTTTTTGTAAACAGTCTCATATGTTTGTTGGAACTGATGTCCTCGTTGGCAGCGCTCTGACATGTGGCACAGCCAGGCAACACGAGTTTGAGTCCTGGCTCAAGATCCTTTCCTGATCCCACCTCCGTCTCTCTCCCACTTCACTTCCTGTTCTCTCTACAACTGTCCTACAGAAAATAAAGGCCAAAAATAAATCTTATGTTTCTTATGTTTATCAAGGCTGCATTTATTTAAACAGAAATACAGTAAAAAATTATAATATTGTGAAATATTATTACAATTTAATATATTGTTTAAATATGTTTTCTATTTCAATATATTTAAAATACATATTGTATTTATTCATGTGGTGAGAAGCAGAATTTCAGCAGCCATTACTTTAGTCTTCAGTGTCGCATGAACCTTAAAAAATATTCTAATATGCTGATTTGGTGCTCAAGAAACAGTTCTTGTTATTAATGTTTAGTGCTTATTATTTTTGAGGAAATTAATTACTTTTTATGCATCCCTGCAGTATTAATTATTCTTAAAAAAAAAAAAAAGTAAGGTCGTTCTGACAAAAAAAAAAATATTCAAGGCTCATGAACATAAATTAGCAGCAACTGATTTTCAGAAAAGTCAGGAAATGTGCAGTAGCCACATATCAGAATTACTGCTTGCCATTTAAGTGTTTGTTTGTTCATTTGACTGCACAGCCAGCTACAATTTTTTTTCTTCGCCTCATATATATACCCACAGATGTTGAGCATGAATCACAGTTACAGACATCCCATAAAGACCTGTTTGGTGAGAAGATAAAAAGCAACAGCTTTGTGTTTATGCCACCTTTTTAATTTGCTTCTGGAAATGCTCATTTGTGAATAAGAGGATTGGGAAGAGATATAAAAATCTGACCTTTTTGTTGAGCTCAAAGTGTCATTTCACAGCCCTGATGGCACGGATCCTCAGATAACCATTTACTTTCACTCTGCCTGCTTGGACACATTCCCAGGGATGGCAAATCAAAGAAGAGTATGATTTTGTGATAGCCCACCATCCCATCCCACCAGCACACACACACACAGATACAGGCAGCAGGACATCATCTATCTGTCTGAATATGCCTTGTGCCAGCGATAACCCTCTTGTGGCAATTCCCATCATCAAGTTCACGCTTTGAAACATTATGTCATTGTTATTCTGCGCTAATGAGATCTTAAGCAGAGAATCAAATTAGTGCTCAGTCATAATCAAAGTGTGCAGTCATTCTTAACAGAACTGAACAGAATCAGAGCTCCACCACCCACTTGGAGTCCGTGTGCCAAATCCTGCCAACTCTGACAGCAGCCTGAAGAGGAAAACAGGACAGCTAAGGTCTGTGTGAGCCATACCAATTTCAAGCCTCTGCCACTTGGCAGGCACACAGAGGTGTTCTAAATTAAAGACTCCGAACAACAGATGCGAAACCACGTAGCACAAAAGCCGTCTTACAGAGGGACCCGAGTTAAATGCTTCACTCAAGAGCACATTTCAGCCTCCAAGCAGCCTGGGCTGTTTTTACACCCACTAAACATCAATGTTCACGGCTAAACAAAGCCGAATCTCTCTTTTGAGCCAAGCAAAAAGCCAACTGAGAAGGGCTGGAGACACGTCTCTTGCACAGTCAACCATGAGTTCAGAAACCTTACCCTCGCATTCAACCTCCTCGGTTTCATCTGTACTTTGTAACATAGCTTTTAGGTCAAAACTCCAGCATATATTCCTCTGAGTACACTAATGCCCTCAGAATTGTAACAAATTGCTGTTATATTGGACTGGGCTGAGATACTAAGGTCTGGCCCTGAGAGACATCAGCAGAAACTTTCAGACAGGAACATCATCTTTGACTTTGACTTCCTGAACATGCTCATTTTGTCAAGTATGCCAGGGACATAAAAACCGGCGATGATGGGATCTACAGAGAGATGCCCCCTGCAACTTCAGCCAGTTTCAGTTCTTATACATCACTGACAACAGCGCGGCTGAAATATCTTGACAGGAGGGCAGCTCTCACTGGAAAAACAGCAATGATAAGTCTCAGAAGAACGTATGGAGAAATTCATATAGCTTATAATGTTATAAAGTGAAAGATAAAAGGAAAAGTGACTTTGAAAAGGAAGACCCACAAGAGAAGAGCCCCTAGAAAAGAAGAACCACAAGAGATATGTCTTCAATATCTCAGTTGTCTCTGAAATGAGTGAATAGAGATTTTCATGTATTGCATACGTTTTCTCCTGAGAAAAAGAGTCTCATGTTTTCTCAAGAGTTTCAACGTCACATTCACAAAATGTGTCCCAAGATACCAAAGTTTGCCAAAATTTGAGATTTTAATATGAACTTAAATATTTCCCAACAAATTCTCTCAAGACTAGGAAGAAATTGATATGAGGTATCAATTTCAGAACTTATACCAATACACTAATCAGTGCAATCCATAGCCATTTAACTTTTTATCAATTTAGTGGCAAATTCACAGAATTTGTACGATCTCATTCAATCTGCTTATGTCCCACTGACAGTTAGGTTTAGGGGTGGATCTTAACGCTTAGATTTTTCTAAAATATAAGTTGTTTCATACAAATCAAATACTACAAATTCCATCAAAATGACCCGTTCATAAAATAGTTCCCTTTCATGGGAACTTCGAACTGCGTCCTCTAGGGGTCGCTATGGGGAACGCCTCGTCGTGACCCGTGTCTGAAGCATACATTGAAAAAACACCAACTCGTTGGCCGGCGACAGCCATGACGTCACTACCGGTGCGACTATAGTATAAATAGGCGCCGGGAGCACACATCATTCTCTTCTTCGTCTTCACTGACCGGTCTGTTTGAAGCGTGCATTCCAAAAAGCAAAGTAAGAGCTTTTTCTTTCCTACTATGGCGAGCACTAGCGAAGCGTTTAGAAAGTGTGTACATCCGTGCTGGGCAAAAATCAAGCTTAAATGGATTAGACTCACTGTTAAAAAAAAAACCTTTTACAACTTAATGCTGCCTTGAAATTTAAGCTTAGTCAAATTGAAATATGAAGTTGGTGAAAACGTCTTAGGTTACTTATGTAACCATGGTTCCCTGAGTAGGGAACGAGACACTGCGTCCTCTAGGTTTCTTGCCATGCTGCGGACGCAAGCTTCAGATGAAGAAGTGAATGATGTGTGCTCCCGGCGCTTATTTATACTATAGTCGCACCGGTAGTGACGTCATGGCTGTCGCCGGCCAAAGAGTTGGTGTTTTTTCAATGTATGCTTCAGACACGGGTCACGACGAGGCGTTCCCCATAGCGACCCCTAGAGGACGCAGTGTCTCGTTCCCTACTCAGGGAACCATGGTTACATAAGTAACCTGAGACGTTATGTTTTCATATGAAAACGGATTGTTGATAATTGTGTGAAATAACTGCCTCATGTTCATCCCTCCTAAAGACTTTTAACATCTGAAACAAGGCTGATACTTCAAAAGGAAAACCCTGAGAACTCCATTAAAGGGATAGTTCACCCAAAAACAAAAATTACTCACCCTCAAGCCATCCTAGGTGTATATTACTTTCTTCTTTCAGATGAATATAGTCAGAGTTATATTAAAAAATGTCTTGGCTCTTCCGAGCTTTATAATGGCAGTGAAATGGGGTTGAGATTTTGAAGCCCAAAAAAGTGCATATATCCTTAGTAAAAGTACTCCACACGGCTCTGGGTGGTTAATAAAGGCCTTCTGAAGCAAAGTGTAAGAACAATATCCATATTTAAATCTTTATAAACCTTAATCTCTAGCTTCTGCTAACTATCATACACGTGTTCACAAGAAAGTGGCTTTTCAGCGTTTGACGTATGAAGTTTTAAATATGAATCTTTGTCTTACACAAAAGCATCGATTAATTTCAGAAGGCCTTTATTAACCCCCCGGAGCCGTCTGGAGTACTTTTATAATAGATGGATGCACTTTTTGGGGCTTCAAAATCTCGCCCCCCCCCCCCCCTTCCCTCCCTTTTTAAA